CCAACATCATCAGCATAAGACAATTAAGTCCTGCCAGTGAAAGAATTTTTTTTTAAACGTAAATATTTACAGCGCAAATCTTTACCATTCATTCACCAGGCGCTAACAAAACCTTACTGTACTCTCCCTCTCTCACCCCCCCCCCCCCCCCCCCCCCCCCCCTCTCTCTCTCTCTCTCTCTCTACATCTGCGATTCATTGACTTTACAATTTACCACATGTCGAGATGGGAGAGGTCGAGCCTCCATCTGAATCACGACACAAATATGCGAGTGATTTATTGTTTTAAAAACTGTGGGCCGATTTAGTGCAACTCCACTTTTCCTGAGCATTACTCCTATTGGCAGACCATGAACAATTACAGTTCGGACTAATTAAGCTCGGAGAATGTGCAGCGCACCGCTAATGTCTAGCAGGCCCCAATTGTTGTTTAATGGTGCCAAACTTTGCTCCCCAACTTTACTCCCTCAAATCCAAAACAGATTGCACTTTTTATGGGTGTTTATCAAGCTCAATAAAAATAAGGACCTTTTATTTTCCTTGCATAGGATGAGAAAAATAGAGAAGTGGAAGGGGGGGTGAGAAAGAAGAGAAAAGATAGAGAGAAAAAGAGGGCGGGAGGGAGAAAGAGAGCGTGTCCTGCTTCCGCCATACTTTGTAAACAAAAGTCATTTGCAGGACAAAAGGAGCACAACCTTCTAATAAAAATGTGGAGTACGTTTTGCGAGGAGAGACTAAATGTGGACACGTAGTGCCATGAACCCACTGCGGATTGCAATTAAGACCTATTAACATGTAAAGCCAATTTGATAAGGTGTGGGTCTATCCCCTAAATCCGCATTAAGCTATCTTTCCTCACCTCGCAGGGACAAGCCATTCAGAGCTGTACCAGAACACACATTATCCATATGATATACCATTGTTATGCATATGCTGCTAACATGTTTTAAAAAATACTGTATGTGTCAATTATAAAATGTTGCCCATACCAGTACATCTACATAGACACAAAGGATTACACTAGGTGTTAAATTCGGGCCGATGTACAAATACGACTGCTGATCTGATGTTAATCTTGCCACAAATCCACCATTCCGTCCCGAAAATGTAAAAATTGTGTAGGCAAGTGGCATTAATTTTTAAATAGGTGGGTCTACCACAATAGGAGCGATACTGGTGCAACAATACAAATGAAACAAAGAAAAGAGGGAAAGGGCTATTGTTTCAATCATACAATGCCTCTCGCCAAGCTTCCTGTGGAATCGCCACGGGTCTCGGGAGCGTCTTTTTTAACTCGAAATAGAACAGTGGATGCTGGGTGCTGCGTTCTCTCTCTCTCTCTTTTTGGTTCTTTTTTTTAAACTACTCATAATTAGACGTTGAAACAGAAAAACCAAAAACCCAGCCAAAACTCTGCAGGCCCCAGGAATGATGGGGCCAGGGGTGGTGTCAAATATCTTAACATTCATAAGTCAGAGAAGCAGTAAATAAACCTGGAGGATTTACGGCCCTGCAGCCCTATGCCCCCGCTCCCTCTCTCTCTCTCTCCTCTCTGCATACCTGTTGAGGTGTGATGTTAGCCAGCAGCACTGGAGTTAACCTGTCGCCTTTTCAGAAAGCCCCATGTTAGCATTAAGCATCTGCACAATCGCATAGAGATAGAGAGAGATACGAGATGAGAGGATGAAGAGGAGAGAGAGAGAGAGAGAGATCCGATGGAGAGAGAGGTATGAATAGTATATATGAGAGAGAGAGAAGAGAGGATATAGAGAAGAGAATAGAGAGAGAGACTATAGCTAGAGAGAGATCGCAACTCGATATCCTCTAAGCGCTATATCCCGCCTGATAGGAGATGAGATAGAGAGAGATATGTTCACGAAACAGCATGGCACCCGGGGTTAGCTGGCCAGGCCACTTCACCAATTCAACCTGTTCCCACTGAACCAGCAGGCCTTTGTGTGAGGTTGAGAAAGGAGGGAGAAGAAGGAATAGAGGGACGAGGGGAAGAGGGGGGTTAAGAGGGCAGGAGGCCTAACACCCTGGGCACAACGTCATGTCAAATTGCTAAATTATCCCAAATTGTACAGCTTTTTAGACGTAGGTGGTTGGAAAAACAAACTCTCGCTCGTTATAGCTGTCTGAGGTCAGACAAATTATAGTAACCTCCACACATTCAAACACACAAACAGACTCACAAGCAAAAAAAGAAATGCAGTAACGGAATCACAGGAAGCATAGAAAGGCATGCCCAAAATGTCAAGATCATGGCCAGCTGACAAAAAAATATAAATCAAGTGGCAAAGGCTGTAACATCACTAACATCACAATCATATCAAATTGGGCCATTTTACGTCTAAAAGTAAAGAAACTACAAAAAACGATTGCACACACATGCCAAAACATGAATTCCAAAATCATAGTATTGAACCGTCTGCATCAATGAGACCCAAAATTGATCAAACGGTTCAATTGGATTGAGGAGAAAAAGCAACCGACAAAGCCTGCTATATGAAAGAACCATACAACAATGGAGCGAGCTAGCCATTTCTAATCACAGACACAGTACCAGTTATATTCTGGAGCCTTCTTTACTAGTTAGGGAGGAAGACAGATAATCAATGCCCAGGTGAATTATTGATGCTATACATTTATGAATACAACAGCCACAAAGAAAACACTAATGGGTGGACACACATGGTGCTCAAATGTAACCGACCTAATGAGAGGGGGGTTGAGTTAGTACACTAGGTAAACCATAATACGCCTAAAAATGTATGAAGTGATCTTGAATAAAGCTGTCCTGAACATTTATACCGCAGTTTTATTTGTGCAATAAATTCTATCATGTTTGCAATGTCTCCTTGCTTTGTAAACCAATTAAACATGGCTCACTGGGCGTTTCTAAAATGGTATTTTTGAAGATGATCTTATCTTAGATACAGGGAGGTGGTAGGGTAGAGGCAACAGAACGACAGTGTATAACAAAACTGATCAAATAGGCTACTATGAAAACCTTCCAGATTTGAATTACCTCTGACAACCACTGAACTAATGGGCACAAGGAGGTAGACTGTACACAGACCTGATATCAGATAGAGACATGTACAGCAGTTATGGAAGTTATGTGAGCTTGTACTGGACCTGGCACTATAGTGAACATGTGCAAAAAGAAACTAACCCATTGAAACAAATAACCAACTTAAACCCAGTGTGTGTGTGTGTATGCCTGTGCATAGGTGCGTGTGAATAAAGGATGACTAGTCCGCCAGTATTGTGAACATGAGTGACACACTCCTGCGTAATAATGATAAAGAATGGCAAACGGTCTCAAATATGCTCAAGACACACAGTTAATAAAAACACCAAATCATAAAATATACAAATAGCAATATAATTCAGTAAGATGTAAAAAAGTGTCATATGTGCAATTATTTTGTAGACATGTTATAAGATGCTTAAAATTCTTAACATGTGAAAATGTGTCAGACACAAAGGGGTGCATTGCATTGTCTATCACATGTGTGTTTATTTTCAAGGTGTGTGTGGTGGACTAAATTGAGGAAACAAATATCAGTTTCATTACCCAGAGGTATATGTGGGGGTACGATCATATTTCCTAATGGTTGGTCTTTGCCTTAACCTTGTAAGACGAGATGACAGGTCCTAAAGCAATGACTTGTAATTGCAACCATTAAAAAAAAAAAAAATTGGAAAATGATCCCGCCTAAGCATTGCCCAGTGGGACTAGGAGGTGGCGAGTAAATGAGTAAGTATGCATAATTATACCAGAGCTGATTGCCTCTAATAAATAACATGAATTTATTTATAAATAACGTTTTACATGGCACATGCTTTTAAGAGCGATGGTTTACCCATTACAGGCTAGAGTGGTATATATGCAGTACATAGGCTACAACATGTAAAAATCTAACATAATTTCCTGCCTATAAATAAATGATTTCAGATTTATTTAAACGTTTGAGGTAAAAATATTAATGTCTGCATATTCAAAGTAACTGTCAATGATAGGCCTCTTTCAGCTAATGTCAATGCAGTTTGACAAATGCAAATTACATAAATAAACTAATTAACACATTGGCTTTGTTTTTATAAGGTCCTTTCTCAATGCTTTTCTGAGTTTCCTGTATTGTTGATATATTTATAGAAACTTGTGTTAGGTGTTCTTATACTGCCCTGGGATAAAAAGGTTTAAATGGGGCATGTGTTTTAAGCTTAAAATACAAAAACGTTTTCAATGAGGTTGTGCAAACAGCGTAGCCAAGGCTCAGTACAACATTATATTACATTTATATTAGGAGGCGGTATGAAATCAAAGTCAGAGTTAGCCTATCTAACACTCACATAATACAGTAATAATAATAATAATAATAATAATAATAATAATAATTTAAAAATCAAGAAGAAGCATAATAATATTGTTCAATTGTCCACTATAAACTGATATATTATTATTCAAATTAATGTTTATGTTTTGTACTATAATTTGATCACAGGTGTACAATAAATAGAATATTCATCATGGGCGCATGACCTTGCATACCATTTTTTTATTTGAGGTGATGGAAATGCATTGAGTATCCCTATTCCTGGCATGCTTCTTACTGTAGGCTACAGAGAAACATGCAGGCACATTGTTGCAAACGACATGCATGCCATTGTACAGTTCATGAAAAGTTGCGAAACGTCTGGCTACATTTAACAGTTAAACACACCTTGCTGGGTGTAAATGCGCGTTTGTTCATGGCTACGTGGATTGTGTGTGTCCATTAATGTACGCACATCGGTGTAAATAAATGAACTTACTGTGCGAGCTGTTGGAGAAAGTGATCCATTCGGAAGGTACGGGCTTGTAAGATCGGGGATCATTATAAATGGATAGCCCGGGTACGGTGGGCTCTTGAACAGCCCTCCATCTTGCCTTTTCGCAGCTAACATGGCGGGGGGAAAGAAGAAAAACTTTTATAAGTGCCTTGACAACTTTTATACATCTGAGATTCCAGAAGAAACCCACTCGGTACGCTCATATGCCATTGTGTACAAATCTAAGCGACAGAAAAGCAGAAACTCACCCTCCTCTAAACTTTCTCTTGTTTTGTCTCTGAAAGTTTCAGACCTAGGCGGAGGCCGTCTTTCCGCCTTGAAAAACAACGAAACACAGGGGTTGCATTAAAGAAACACATAGGGAAATAATTACTTGTGTATACCGTGGTTTCACTGCACATTTCGCGCACAATAAGTAAACGTTTGCAAACTACCGAATGGACAATCGATTCCGATTATTTCACTTACCTCCGAATCTGACGAGCTGTTTTGATTTGTTTCTGATTCATTTACAAGAGAAGATTTGACATCTGCTAAATCCCTTTCTGCCGATAAGTTCTCCGAAATTTTTTCCTCCTGCTCCCCTTCGTCTTTGAAGGAAATCATTTCATCGTTCGCACCCAAATCGTCCCCTCCACCGCCGTTGAGCTGCGGCATTTTCCCGAGCAATTTTGGGGGGCAAAAACACAACGTTTTAAACCCTTGATCTTGGTGATCTAGAATCCGAGTTAAAGTTTAGAGTCTGTATTGGCGTTTTCCAAGCACTGGCGGTTTGTACAAACTAAAAAGAGGGGAACCTTGGCAGAAAAAGAAGCCGGAGATGGAGCTGAGCCGCTCGAATTGAGTGAGTTGAAGTTGGTCGGAGTGGTTTTCAGTTCAAAGGCGGCGCTGATTGACAGATAGAGAGGGATGGAAATAGAGAGAGTCTGGATTCAGGATTATTGACAGGGAGAAACACATAAGAAACTAATGAGATTCAAAAAGGGAGGGACTTGAAGTGACGTTTTCATAAATAGGGAGCGAAAAAAAAAAAAAAGGCTGGAGGAAGCCGACGGACGAGTGTGCAGTTAGAAAAGCGAGTGAGAAAAGGCAGTTTGGGTGAGGAGCGCGGGACAGTGAAGCGCCCCTGTTTGCTTTTGTGCTGGTATAGCAAAATAGGCGAAAGACAGGAGTTACTTGTAAATGCGGATTAAATATATGGGCGGTCTCCCACTGAAAATGAATTGAGAGTACTTCCTTATTTTCTCCAGTTTCAATGTAGCAATTTTGAAAAGCCAAGACATAGGGGCCAAAAGTTTACCACGCATGCTTTCCAGAATGAACTTGAATAAGCCTATAGCCTTTCAACATTTGCTTCGGGTTGGATATGAAGTAGTATGAATACCATTTTGATCACTATGACAGCTTGAACCCTTTCCTTTTTTATTTAGCCCATTTAAAGCAAGCTATAATATATTTAAATTATATTAGAGATTTTGTTGTACATTTCTCATATCTTGTTGCATAATCTTCTATTCTAGACTATATCCTGAATTAGGTTGCATGCATAGGCTATGTATTTGCATTAAAACATTTTGTTCTACTTCAGATAGGCCTATATTTGCATGGAGTGTGAAATATAAAGGACGCGATGATGGAGGTACAGACGTGCTCTGCCAGTCGGCACAACGTTGGGAAGACTACACCCAGAGGGGCTAATGAGGCCGGGTTTTAGGACTAACCTGTAGCCTATTCATTATAAAAGAACAGGCAGGGGCTTGGTATTTGTGCTGGGTTCTTTTCTCCATCTGACAGATTTCTAAAGCACAATAAAAAATGCCACCAATAAACTTTTCAGCTCATTTGAGTCATTGATGCAAATTGTTAACGGCACTCGAAAAAATTGTATCATTACATTATGGAGCAGGTTTATTTATAATGGTCATCCAGTGGTTTTAATTAGACGTTTGGCTAGACATTTTTAGTAGAACAATTTAATGAATGCCACGCTAAAATCCACTGTTTGTGTAAAAAACTATGTAGCCTGTCAAAAGATAAATCTGCTTAACTCCTTGATAGCTCTAGGCCTACACCAGGTCACGGTCAATTGACAGTAGCTTAGTAGGCCTATGGTGTAGTGTACAAATTGCCTACCTAGCTAGTAGTCTATCTAATCTTCTTTCAACTTCAATTATATTGAATATAAAATAGCCTACCTGAATATGTGACTAGAGTCCTCAATGCTTATTGCTGCTTGTTTTCACACCTTCATCTCCCAAATGTTGTTTAAAAACAGCAACCTCTGGAGCTCAAAACAAGTCATTATTCTATCATCCACTTTGGGTTTCGGCCACATATTCTATTCCAATCAGGGTCATGCGGACATCAAACAGCAGATGAATATCATTAATGCGATGAAGTGTTTGAATAAATTAGGGGGAGAAACAAAATGAGTGCTTTGGATTTTTTCATTATTTAGGCTACTCTTAATTCTGAAATTGAATTATTCAATTGTATATCTCTACTTAAGCCTAGGGTTCCTATTTTGATGACCCTCAAACAAGCTGTCGGTGGTAGCCTATGAAAAAAGCATTGTGAAAATATAAGCAGTTTACGGAATAGGCTATAGCTGACACTCACCTCTCACTTGGCTGCTCTAGAAAGACCACTCAAGTGTGTGTGTGTGTGTGTGTGTGTGTGTGTGTGTGTGTGTGTGTGTGTGTGTGTGTGTGTGTGGCTCAGTTGTCCACTGGGGCTCCAAAAGGTAGCCTGGGAAAGCTATATTTTATTTAACAATCATAAAAGTGATGTTTAATAAATCATAAAATGTTTCTTCCAGAAAAACCAAATATACAGCTATAGTAACACAATGTATTTCAAGAAATGGCATAATATACTTGTTTTGAGTCTGTCTTCCGCTCAGTTGTCAAAATACTGTGTTGACAAACATTTATTTCACATAGACCTACTGCATGACAGAGATAAGAGCTATATAATGAACCTGTAGCCTATATCGACTCGCTTAGAACAGGCTTCTTTAAAAGCGCATCCTTCTGCAATATGATCACTGATCAGGCATGACTGGATCAGCTGAAAGCAGTATGGTGGAAACCTACACAATATTTTCCAATTATTGAGTTCCTCTAGCAAGGAAGGATGGATGGAAGGAAGGATGCATTTGAGGGGCTGGAGGGATTATAAGGATGCTTTTCTTAGGTAATCATGTATGTCTGTGTAGCAGCAGAGAAGAGACACCCCACCCCTCCCATCTCTACAAACCTGGAGCCCACACAGACCAGACCAAAGCAGTGCAGTTCCAAGCTTGCCCCTTCCTGGATTGCCTCAGCAGGTGCCTGAGAGTTCATTGGGGTGTGTGGAGTGTCATCATTTTACTTTGGAGGAATGTTATCAAATCTATAGAATTTATACATTCTCTCACATTTTCACCACTTCATACAGCAATACACGCTACTGTATTAGATTACCCACTTTTCTTTCCTAGATATTACAGTGAACATAGCTATTATAGTCCTAGTGGTCCTTACAGCCAACCTTGAGCAAGATAGTTCTGCACACATGCTAAACTCTGTGTGCAAACGGTTAATTACCCACAATGCCTCTATATTCCCGACCATGCAGGCTGAAATGGCTCTGGTCTCAACTAGCATATTATTGGGTCTGTCTACCACTTGTTTTCATAGTAACAATATGTGCATTTTAAAGCCCTGTTTATTGGTAACTACAGCTTGATTCATGCCAGATCCCCACTGAGCTAGATGAATTTAGCAATATAAAGATGTCTGTCTTTAACAAGTGGAACTTGGCATTTAACCTTTTTTTGTTGTTGCATTTAGTCAATTGCAAATTCCACCCATTGTATGGGGAGGCACTGCTAACCATTTTAGGATTTTTTCCAGTACAGTTCAGATGAATTATATCATATGAATAATGACATGGTTAACCACAATTATGTGTTTCTAATGGCTCTCCACATTGTGTAAAGGACAATAATGGGGAAATTGATTACAAATTTTCTTTGATTATGCAAAGGTCCTTTTATGATGTATATTCATCATTATTGTAAAAGCAAATCGGACCACAGAAATAAAACTTGTTTCAAGAGCTGGTTTGACCGTGGTTATTTAATGTTTCCTGCCAGTGTACAGTACAAACATACAATACAACTCATAAAGCTGAAAAGTACAGAAAAGTAGCAGGCCTACAGAAAAGTACAGAAAAGATAACAAGTATATCGTCAGAGAGTAAGTAGCATAAATGAGCAAAGATTTGTCTTATGCAATCAATACTATCGCCATGCCACAATTTCTTTAACAATCTGTTTAACCGAGCATTTGTAGTTTGATTAGATTATTGAACACTATAAATTAATTCCCCAACCTATATACTCGTTCTGTACAAAGGAAAATATTATATACAGTGGCTTGCGAAAGATACTCCAATCTCCGCTGTGGAGCTTTGCAGCTCCTTCAGGGTTATCTTTGGTCTCTTTGTTGCCTGTCTGATTAATCCCCTCCTTGCCTGGTCCGTGAGTTTTTGTGGGCGGCCCTCTCTTGGCAGGTTTGTTGTGCTGCCATATTCTTTCCATTTTTAAATAATGGATTGAATGGTGCTCCGTGGGATGTTCAAAGTTTCGGATATTTTTTTATAACTCAACCCTGATCTGCACTTCTCCACAACTTTGTCCCTGACCTGTTTGGAGTGCTCCTTGGTCTTCATGGTGCCGTTTGCTTGGTGGTGCCCCTTGCTTAGTGGTGTTGCAAACTCAAGGGCCTTTCAGAACAGGTGTATATATACTGAGATCATGTGACAGATCATGTGACACTTAGATTGTACACAGGTGGACTTTATTTAACTAATTATGTGACTTCTGAAGGTAATTGGTTGCACCAGATCTTATTTAGGGTCTTCATAGCAAAGGGGGTGAATACATATGCACACACACATTTTCCGTAATTTATTTTTTTGAACTTTTCTTTTCATTTCACTTCACCAATTTCGACTATTTTGTGTATGTCAATTACATGACATCCAAATAAAAATCAATTTAAATTACAGGTTGTAATGCAACAAAATAGGAAAAATGCAAAGGGGGATGAATACTTTTTCAAGGCACTGTAGGCATTAGAATGTTTCTAAGTAAAAAGCACAACATGAAGAAGAGTTGTCTTGTGCAACTAACAGGTCAGACTAACATGATAAATGGCAACATTCTGGTTTTGTAGCTCTACTTCTACCTCGGTAGGTATTGGCTGCTGGCAGCACCTGCCTGTCTCCAACCCGTCCACCGTTACAAAACAGTGCATCGTGGGAACCATATTAGAGGAACTAAGTGAACTGCCTCCTTCATCCAAAACAAACAGCAGGCTTTTCAGAAATGAATGTGATAGTGATTAATCAGTGGATGAGGCAGACCTGGAGCTCTCTAAACATGGAACCCACCTGAGACAGGGCTGCAGCGCCTGGAGCTACAGTACACAGTTAGGGCATGTGTTTGCTGACCTCAAGCCCTGTGGTCACCTCCAATATGTCAGCCAAGGCACAGCAGCGTACTCCTGTCTGTCAGAGAAATCGTCTCGCTGGATGGCGAGCCAAGCTCTGGCTTGTAAACGTTAGGTAATGGTCAATAGTAGGCCAACGACACAGAAGGTTTGTGTTGG